TGAACCGTCTATAGAAACTTGAAAGGCCGTTAAACGTGCGTAATTGCTTGATCGTGGTCTGTTCTGGAATGTCGTCAGCAGCCATAGGGATTTGGTTATACGCTTCAACCAAGTTGATTTTCGAAAAGACAGCTGTGCCTTTCAAGGTGGCTGTCAAACCATGAGTGTGAGGCAACGAGTAACGATCGGGAGTGGTTTTCACGTTCAATCGCCGATAGTCACCAGTTGGACGCCAATCGTTGCTGTTCTTTTTAGGGACCATGTTCAACGGAGATGCCCATGGGCTATTTGACAGTCCTATGATACCTAAGTCTATCATGTGGTCGAACTCGTTTTTCGCCAACCTTAGTTTTTCGGGGGCTAGTCGGCGGGCTTTAGAGAATACGGATGGTTCTGTAGTCATTATGTGATGTGTAACGTTGCTAGTTACACACGGTAATTTCTGTTACGTTTGGTATATCCTAGAATACTTATTGAGTAGTGGTTGATAGAATGAGTCTATCGTATGCTTAATTGTGACTGGAGATAATCTGCAACCACAAAAGGAATTTACGCAAATCGACAAATTAGTGTTTCTGTCTACTAGCCTCCGTTTGCGCGTATGGATGAGTAGATTATGGTGTTGTAGAAGGTCTATATCAATGATTGGCATAGAAACACCTGCAACAACGAAAATCCAGTGAATTAGTTTGCGTAAACCCACGTTAAGGTAAACGTACCTTTGGCCATACGTAGCGATAGGCTTTCCGTTTGCCTCCTGTAAGTTTAAAACTGATTCGTGAAGCCGATCGTTAGAATTCGCCGTGGGAACGCTAACTTCTGCGCCAGTATGGACGAGGTAGTGAATTCTCGTTGTCACATCTGTGACGTACAATAGACGGCTATGTTCGCCGGCTACGGTTGCCGTTAACGCGTGCCGGCTTGGAAGTTTCTCGAATCGTCTTTCGTGTCGTTCGATCTTGAGTTTGGAAAATTGCGGGGTTGTCCGCAATTTATGGAGGGTTTTCTATACTGGTTATGATACCAGCACCAGTCGGGGTTATCTGTCTCCCGTGGTCTAGCGACAGATCGCCTACGTGAAGTGCTTCTTCGCGGGGTGTGTGGCCGTTTACGATCGTTACGAAACTTAAGATAACGTGCAAGGGTGTGACATAACTCCGTTGTGTCATTCTGGGTCGTTTAAAGCTTTCTTCGACTGAAAAAACCTCGGCATCAGAGGATTTCGTGATTTCTAGGATGCGGTCGGCAGATGCAGCCAGCTCGTCTGAGGCGTTGTTGTGAAACGAGACAAGTACAGCTCGCACCTGTTGAGGAAGTTTGGATCATAAAAGTTGTTTGAATAGGCCATTATCGAAGGTTCTTTGGCCTATAAAGTCTCTCGTCGGTTGCAACATGTCCGTCGCAGAACCTTGTTGCAGGTCGATGTTATCAAGGATTTGGTCTAACGTTTGTCTATCGGTTGGGTCCCCGCATTTAAGAATAGATCATTTAAGTGTTTCGTAGGGTTCCGAAGCATCACTAGTAAACATACTAGGTGTTACGTACATGTTGAATTCGAGCGGTAGTGCCTTGACTACTTGGAGGAGTTGTGCATGTGTGTCGTTCACGCCGTGCTCGCAGAAGTCGGCTCCGATGTTGTCTGGCCAGAAGGACATTAGTTGGAACGAAGGTGGGAATATAGTCTTAAGCTTAAGTACTTTGGGTGTCTGTTCAGTCACGATGAACTGTGAAGTACGAGAATGAACGAGGGAAAAAATATATATCCAAAAACACGAAAAAAATCAAAATGTATAAAAAATTGAGATATGGTAATGCTATATAGTATCCCAAAAAGGAAGAGACTCACATTTTACTATTTGGTGTACCAGATGACGTTAGGCTCACCAGTGGAGACGCCACAGGTATTCGGAGTTTGACAACGCTTTAACCAGCGACGCCCTCTGATATGAATCATACCCACCAAGTGAAATCAAAAGACAGAAGCGAGGAGGTTCGAAGATATATTTGATAGGCTATCAATATATTGAGGATCGTCTGATCTAATCTGGCTAGTGATTGCAAGGGTTGTTGAACACGACGTTCCCACTCGTGATCTGGTGCGGATGCATAACCGAGAGCCTTCAGCTAGGTGAGTCGATTAAAACTAATGTGGTCAGCGTTCAATGTCGAAGATTTACAAATTTATTTATTTTGGGGATTTATCTACCGCTACAATGGAAAATTGAAACATTCCTCCTCTACCAGAGCTACACCATCAGGTGTGCTGAACAGTGAAATGCATCCACCAGTATAAATGAAATCGTTTAACGAGCAAACCAATTTTGTGCATGAACAATCATCAAAACTTGCCTAAGAAATGTCAAACCATCCACAATATCGATGGCAAACCTCCAGTCTCATATGAGACCTTCAGCTCTACATAGCAATATAGCTCATACTACATACAACACATACGCTCGGTAGTAAACGAAATAACCCAGTCTGAAGCGTTAGGGCTTAAATAGCTCTTAGAACCTATTGTCTGACGTCGGAATATTATTACCAGATCACAAAAATAATTTTTATCGCATTTGTGAAAGTTTAATTTTTCCGAATTTTCAGACCCTGAGTTAGGGCTAGTATTTTTACTATTTAAATACAGATATAGAAAATCTGGATTAAAGAAAGGTACTCATCAAGATCTTATCGAGTGCTTAAATTTTCACCAACTCGAAGAGAGATGTGTATTATGACAGTAAAAAGGCCCACCATGTGGGTTTTTCAACAGATACTTGTCACTTAACGCCCACCTATTTATTTTTGATTTCATGTGGCTATCTATTGAGGCACCATGCATGTGGGCTGCTCCTTAACATATTACGCTTATCTTGCAAAAACATCTCGCATTTTAACTCCCTCCTAAAACATGACGCATTATACGGTGGGCTAATCAAAAGTTGACAAATCAAATACTAACGTTGTGTCAGTTAAAAATCTCCTAATGGCAAGTATGTGATTGGTCAGAAAACAGATCCAATTTCTAGGGATATTTATATGCACATATGGGTGCCCATGTATATGAGTCCGTTTATCCCTGAGACATTCCAGTTTTACTATCGGTTCTCATACTTAGTAACCGTTTGGGGGTTGACGCTTGAGAAGCCAGTATATTACCATCAGTTTGGGGACATTGAGAGTTGTAACAGTGCAGCTACTGGATTATTATTTTTTTACGCACGACAGCATACAATATATTAGATGCTTGATATCAGTAATGTCAAGCTTTTTTGAAGATTGTGAGGATGCCACAAGCATTCGTAGTTTGACAACGCCTTAACCTGTAACACCCTGTATAATCGAAGTGTGCCAACCCAGTCAAATCAGATGTCAGAAGTGAAGAGGTTCAAAGTTATATTTAAAAGGCTACCGATATCTTGAGAAGAGTTTGATCGAAGCTGGCTAATGGTTGTGGGAGATGTGTAGCATAGTACACTCGCTTATAATCAGGCGCGAATGCATGACCGAGCGCTTTCAGCTAGGTGGTCAAAGCACTCCTAGGGGTATTACCAGTTCAAATCCGAGTTTACTAACTTATATTTAAAATAAGGAGTTATATTACCATATTTTGTGTAACATAATCGTTAGTCCGATTTATAAGTTTTCACAAGGCATGTACAATTATTTTTATTTAATTTATATACATAGATAAAATGTGGTGTTTTTAACCAATTTGTATTCTATTCATAGGTGATAAATAAAATGCAGTAAATACCAAGGTCTAGATAATGTAACATCAAATAGCATACAGTTAGTTAACAATCAGTTTAAAAGTATAAAAGTATTGATATTTCGCTCTCCTCGATTTTGGACCATGAATAGAAACAGAATATTCTATGACTTTAAAAATAGATAAACTTTTTGATTGAGATCATGAACCGATTGATGTTAGACCATCACAATTGAAAACCTGGAAGCACTGGACGGCCGTTTCGTCCTATTGTGGAACTCCTCAGCAGTGCGTATCCACGATCCCGCTAGCGGGATTCGAACCCAGAGCCTTCGGTCTCGCGCGCGAACGCTTAATCAACTGGACCACTGAGCCGGCATCCAATGGTGAGTTTCTAACATCAACCAATCCACGAAATTGCGCGACCAACTTCCGTTGTACTGAGGTAGATACCTGTCTCTACCCGACAAGGATTAGCTCCACTGGTCACGGCTTCTCACTAGAACTCCGAGAATTCCCTGACGAAGCTAGTCACTAGTGAGCACATGTTGATTACTAGTATGGGGGTTGTGGAGATTATTAAGTCTTTGATTGAGATCATGGTTAAGCGTTCGCGCGCGAGACCGAAGGCTCTGGGTTCGAATCCCGCTAGCGGGATCGTGGATGCGCACTGCTGAGGGGTCCCACAATAGGACGAAACGGCCGTCCAGTGCTTCCAGGTTTTCAATTGTGATAGTCTAACATCAATCGGTTCATGATCTCAATCAAAAACTTAATATATATATATATATATATATATATATATATATATATCACATTTTAAGCCATTATAGGAGATAACCTATTGAAGTAGACTACTTCTTCAGATGGATGAAATGTCATTGGTTGGTTGCTTCTTTTAATATGCTATGTTGTGACGTTTCCCAAAGACATTTTTACACTGTGTATATACGCTTTAGTCGTATGGTTGTTGTTATTCGTGCTCCTGGCTGCCTGTGGAATATACTTTCCCTCATATGAACCTGAACTTCCCCCTCTAGTTAGCGGGGCTGGACGCAGTGGAATAGTTTAGCTTTTTTGTCGTTGTTTCGCTGATCCTTCGTTTCGTTCGCCGATTTCTAGGTAATCTCGTGATCTCTTCAAGTATAGTACTGTTGAATAGATTAGTACGCAATTGATGAATTTGATTAAAAAACTACTGTATAATCACGATATGATTGATAAAATACATGCTGTAAATTTCGATACACTTTCAAAATGAACAGAAAATTTTTTGAATGAGAAGTAAAACAAAGGTATACTGATTGCGTTTTTATTATTACATATATTTCCATATATGTATAAATGGGAAGAAATGAGAAGTACAATCCCATAAACTAAAAACATGCTTTCTTCCACATTCTAATCAACCATATATAGTGATATTCATCGAACATTCATACACATGTTAAGGTTATTGAATATTTGTATGATTTTTAGTTTAAAACGGTGGTGCATTATCTGGCCACGTTCTAGTCAATGGATTTTCACTAAGTAAGCTGACATTTCCTTGTGGTACATCAACACCGTCCACGCCTATTCGTTTAATCCATGACAATAATGAATAAAAGAATATTTGTGAAGACGTCTGCTGTCTACAATCTTCTTTATGTATAACTAACAGATTATCTGGTAGAGAAAATGAAGACTTTACCAGAAAATTAATAAGATATAATACTATACACAAGGATATAAAATATGATAACAATTTCATGAATATACTACTACATAAACGTTTAGATAAGTATGATGTCGTTCTATACAAAACACTTCTGTTCTGATAATGTGAATAATGAACACTAGAACCAGGCAGTGGAAGAGGTGATGATGGTGATGTTGAAGGTGAACTATAGACAGGAAATAAATGAGGTTTATTATTACGTATAAATGGTAAACTGTTTTGTAATAGTTTTTTTTGAATAAATAATTTACAGTGATCATAGTTGTTTTTAAATATAGTATTAATTGAGTAACGTAATGAATTATTATGATCATCATCATCATCACCATCAAGATCAAGATCAGAAGCACCATTATTATCATGATGTTTATTGACGCAATTGATTTCACAAATATTTCTGTTCAATATTGTAGACATTTGATTCAATGGTGAATTTATTAATAGTTCATCGTTTAAATGAACATTTCTTTTGTAAGATATTTTAAATGTACTTTTTATGTTTATTTTACCTGATTTATAAGAAGTGCTGATGATACAAATGCAGTTTGGTGAATTCATGAAATTACTGATGATAGTTGTATTAATTGGCATGATCGATTTTTCCGACATATTTTGGATTGAATTCGTTAGATTAAAATGAATTTGTCTAATTTTGTTGTTTGATGATTCTGTAAGATTATTGCTGAAATTAGACTGTTCATTACTATCATGATGAAGAACAGGATAAGGATAAAACTGTAAACCAGTTATTTGTTTTAGATCAAATAATTTTGTCAAAGGTTTAGCATGGACATTATGTACACTTTGCATTCTACTCTCAATAGTTGATAAATCGTTATTTTTCAAAATGATATTATTATAATTTGGTTTCACCATAGCAATTAAGTATATTGATTTAGGAGTTTGATGAATACTAAAAAAATATACGAGAAACGAGAGATAAAATAAATTCACCATATAAGTGTATAAATGTGCATACACATACAAAGCAGAATATCATAAACAAAGTAATTGCTAATACAAAACTGAAAAATACAGTATGAAATAATCGAACGATTACGTAAAAAAAAATGACTTCGTGTTTGCATTAATCAACCACTACACATTAGTTAACAAGATTGTTTTACATCTGACTAATCAGTTAATAAGATCACAAACAAAAAACGTAAAGTGAGTTTAAGACTGTTTTAATATCTGAATGATTAAATGTTACACTGACTAGAAAACTCAACAGATCAAAAAGAGTTTTATTGATGGCTTGTCGAATGGTCTATTACATTCAATATTAAACAAAGAGTTAAAAGAAGTGAAAACTATGAATTTTCGTTCAAGTTATTCTAATAAAATGTTATGACTGTGAAAAATATTTGCTGCGGATTAAGAGATAGCGAATTATTGATCGGACCAAAGACACGCAAACACGTAGAACGACCTAGGGTTCTGATTGGTCCTGCTTCCCTGTCTAGCCCAGTTAGTTGAGTCCAGAAGACAAGCCACAGCCTCGGAGATATGAATCATTATATTTCAAACATACTTTGTTTATATACCAATCAAGCATACTACATCGTACCATAAAATGGAAAACAACATTTTGTACAATATTCAACAAGTGAACAGATATCGACCAATAGGCAATGTCCATTTAAAGTCCAAGGACACCATTGGACTTAACATGATAATTATTGGTTTATTCCTCTGCATCCACAACACCTCCCCTTTTTTTTGAAGATCCGGAGTTGATATCCAGATTTTGAAATTTTCTGGTTCATCCTCCCCCACGAAATAATGTTGGGTCCTCATATCCCCAAGTTAAAATTAATTTGACTTTATTTTACACATAATTGTCAGATTGAACAGAGAAGTCACTGAAAGTGATTAAATAGTGGGGAACAATGTCGCTTGATATGAGGTCATCAACGTTTGATTCTTCTGGAACATTATCATGGGATTTGTTGAAAATCTCATTTGTAAACAGTTGATCACTGAGACAATCAACATCTATCAAAATTGCATTAGATTTCTGATCATCATTTGATGCATCTAACACATTTTCTGGTACAAGAGGATCTAGATAATAAGATTCTGACGAATCTCCTGTTGTTGAATGATGAGGACCATTTGAAACAGCTGGATTCAGTGTACTGCACGATTTGTTCCCTGTTCCGTTGTGGGCGGGTACTGCAATTAATTTATGAGCATTTAATGAGAGATCTTCCTGTGAGCTGGATACATCACTGTCTGTACCCGTTTCAGGAACAGTGGGATTTGAACCCACGACAGGGAATGTTTCCGAATTTGACATTTCTGGACAACTGGGCGGATCATGAATGACTTTCTCGTTTACATCATTGGTCGTCCGGGATTCACAGAGGCTTTTATAGACAGCTTCATATGTTCTGCAGTTGTTTTCCAGATCAGTCTGCAGATGAGAAATGAACTTCTCAACTTCTGTTGCGTTTCCGAAACATGGAAAATTTACCAAGTGTGCGTAAATTTTCTAAAAAATTCAACTGGCTATTTTTGAAACACTGCTGTTGTTGCTCAAGTAGAAGCTGTAATTGGCCGGAAAACGTAGTCATTTTTTTTCTTTTCTGCACCAGAAATGAAAATTAACTGTAGGGATAATGACAAATGTTGCTCAAGGACGCTGATGATAAATCTGGACTCTGATTGGTCGAAACAATTAGCCTGAATCTCGTCCAATTACAAGGTTCAAAATTTTTCTACACCCCGTCGCCAATTGTTATGACGGGTGTGACTGCAGGTCTTGATAAGCAGCGTTTATTGATCGTTTCGGTGAGAGTGACACGGAAAACACGTAAGGGACGACCTAGTGCCCTGATTGGTCCTGCTTCCCTGTCTAGCCCAGTTAGTTGAGTCCAGAAGACAAGCCACAGCCTCGGAGATATGAATCATTATATTTCAAACATACTTTGTTTATATACCAATCAAGCATACTACATCGTACCATAAAATGGAAAACAACATTTTGTACAATATTCAACAAGTGAACAGATATCGACCAATAGGCAATGTCCATTTAAAGTCCAAGGACACCATTGGACTTAACATGATAATTATTGGTTTATTCCTCTGCATCCACAACATAAAAATATATTTTTCATCAAGGATTAACTTTATCTAGAAATTTATGAAGTTTTGGGAGTTCCCTCAAAAGTCGGGAGCCTAAGATCTTATACATGATTGGACTTAAGATAGCCTTCAGGTTTCAAGATGATCACGTTGTATCTGCATTACTGAGTCGGAAGCCATTAGTCCACATTTTCAACTTTGATGGTCAATTCATAACCTGTCGACCTACACTGTATATTGACTGAAGTTAGAAATGTTAGGTGATTAGATTGCAAGAGATGATGGGCTCACCGTGAGACTTCAGTTTACTTAGTTTTATATGGGAACATAAATGCACCCACTTGAGAATTACTTAAAATATAGTCAAACATCTGTTTAGCAATCCTCAGTTTTTGATGGTTTTTTAACTGGCTAGTATCAGTAATTCATTACAACAACCAACTTTCATCAGTTAAATCAATCACCGTTAGTTTAGAGAAATTTTGTAAATTGTCGCTCTCTATCTTTAAATGATTGAACTTGGAAATCTGAAATATTGGATTGCAGGCTCAATGGATTAAGGCTTAGGGGGTTGCGGTAAGGTCTGAAGATACTGGATGTGATCACTGATGGGGTCATAGATGATTACTACTAGGAAGCCTCCTACTAGGACCAAACAATTATAGAATGCTACCTAGTTTGATACAGGTGTTTAAATAAAGTCAGTGTTTCTAAAGTAAAACCATGAAATCTTTACAAACCATTTAACTAAATATTATTCTCATGTTTGCAGTTTCTCTCTTGATTGTTACAATTGAATTACGAAGTTAGAGAGGTGAAACCTAAATTTCGTAGCAAACCAACATTTTTTAGCATAAAAGTACGGTTTATGGTAAAAAAGAAGCTTACATCATGTACGACTACCAATAAAAAGTAATCAGTTAACACGTATAACATAATTAACATAATTTATTAGTTAGAACGATCAAAATAATTCTAAGCCAATTTGTCAGTCACAACGTGGAAACTCCACGTATGTATATCGGTTTAAGTTACCATACTCCATTAGCACACCGAGATGAAGTTGTCAAGCCAAATCCAGAAATAGTAGAGGTAGTAACAGTATCAGTAGAAATAGGGAAGATTAGATATCAAAGATACGACTCGAAAAGAAAATATAAATTAGTGAAATTAAAACGTTGTGAGGAATTTAGAATCTCAAAATTCGGGGGAAAAACAAGGAATGGATGCACCTGAGATATTGTAGATGATTTCAAGCCATGCCATTCGAAGTCTCTAACCGTTGGTCATGATAATCACGCGGAACCTAACCAGATAGTCTATACCTATTAACATAGACTGATACCATGTTTTGGTTTGGCCAGACCATTAGTACTGATAAGGCATTTAGGATAAGTGAAGCGGTCGATGCGTTCAACTACTTCACTCCCTATCAATAATTCGGGCAATGACGCAAGCCAATCCTGAAGTAACATTTTATATTCGGAAGTAGAGAACCGCATCACAAACATGCTCCCATTGTTACTTAAGGTGGTCAGAAAAATCTGCATTTTGTCAGCATCTTCATCAAACAAAACTAGATCATCTGTGTATTTTAAGTCAGTAAGTGGATCTCCAGGCAGAAGATGAACTCCTGAAAAGTCAAACGATGAAAGTATTATCTATAAGAGCATGTCTATGACAAAGTTAAATAAAAATGAGTTAAGCGGACAAACTTGATAAACACTAATTGAAGTAAAAATACTCAATAAAAAGATATTAATAATTTAATGTTGAACACAATAATCCAAGCAAAAACGAATTATAAAAACGTGCATTGACGTTAAGCAAAAAGGATTGTGCAAATTAATAAGAAATATTATGCAGAAACAATTAATTACTGAATTACAGTAATATGAATTAAAATTTTTTTTACCAAAGAGTGAACAAATTTAAACGGCAATAATTAATAATAATAACACTGTTGGATGCCGGTTCAGTGGTCTAGAGGTTAAGCGTTCATGCGCGAGATCAAAGGTCCTTCGTTCAAATCCCACGTGCGGGATCATGAATGCGCACTACCGAGGAGTCCCATACTAGGACAAAACGGCCATCCAATGCTCTCAGATTTTCAATGGTGGTCTAACATTGGTCGGTATAAGATCTCAATTACGACTCAACAATCTTCACAACCCCATACTGATAATAATAATAATAATAAGCCACATGTATACAAGTATAAAATGAAAGATAAAAAATACAACTAACAAACACCAAACACGAATATATACATTATTTGTTGACATGTATGTAAAGCCACAGAAATGATATACAAAACAGAGATGGGGGAACAACAACAACGAACTGTAACAATTAAAATATATTATGTTTACTTGTTTAACTTGTCTGATGATAAATTAGAAACGATAAAGTTGTTTAATTGTGAATTGGCTAAAACCTAATTTTTGTACGTAAGAATAAGAAAATGAGCATCTCAATTATGTTAATAAATAATAATAATAATAATAATAATAATAATAATAATAATAATAATAATAATAATAATAGTGAAGTGTTATCGGTAAATGCCATTACAAGAAGAAAACTATAAATACAATAAGCAATGTCAAAAATAACATGAATTCAAGTTTTCTATCTCTAGAAAATATCTATTTATTCAACATTTCAGGTACAATTTATTGAGCAATGTTAAGCAATCAGTATGGAATACAAGTTAAAAATGAACCTATAGGAAGGTGTGGATAAAGCGGCTACTACCAATCACCTATCATCATTCAATACATACTAGATGTATATACAATGACATTATTAAGTTATTAACCTTCACGATCACAGTGACAAATATGTTACGACTAATTTAGTTGCGTTTAAATAACTAAAAGTTAAGATTGAAATGAATATGTTTATCAATTAGTACACTTTAAAAGTATTCAGGTTTTTTCTAAGTGGGGGGGGGACGAGGAGGAAGAGGGTAATGTTCAATAGTCCAAGAGCAGAAAGTCATGAATTCAACTGATACAAAACATTAAATGAAGTAACAAGTCATATTTTCTATTTTAAAAAAACATCATTGTATTTAAAATAGTTAAACAAATAAATGCTTAAAGGCTTACATATAACCTATACGATACAACTTGAAATAAAGTCTAAAGCTTTATTTGTCAAAGTAGATTGTAAATGTAGTCAATTAAAAATTGTTGAAAAACAAATGATGAACTGTTTTTTTATTCATTTTGTTTTAGATTCTTGAACTGTTTCAAAGATGTTTATTGAAACAAATGGGGTCATGTAAACAAGGTCAAGAGATAATTATAATAACATTCAAAAACGATATATTTTAGGTATTTGCAAAACAATTAAATCCAAAGCATTTCTTATTGTGAAAAAGTTTCATTAGATGTGTACATTTAGGTGCCAACCTAGTGGTATAATGGTCAAGAGCTTGATGTGAAATCGGAAGGTCCTGAGTTTCATCATTAGCAAGGGTTATGAGTACACATTACTGAACAGTTCCATACATTAAATAAAAATCCATCTAATGCTCCTTGGTTTTCAGTGGTATCCAACTTGAGATGAGTATGTGATAAATACTCTCTATAAATCAAACTAATCTTTACAAAACCCCCTTCATCTTTCAGTAATAGATCAAATGTTTACAAATGGAAACTTGCACACAAAAATGAATAATTTTTTCTAATTATATTTTAAATTGGAGTTCAGTCCGTTTTTCATTTCATTTATGGACTTTTCAACCGAATGCATATACATTCTTATAGTTATGTTTACGGTAGAACTTGAATACAGTACCCACCCACCTATTCAAATTCTAAAATATTATTTACTAAACAACTGAATTAAGATGATAACTATCAGTTGTTCAATATAGATAAGAGAATTAATATGCTTCCCAATGTTGGTTATTGTAATTCATATGATGAGTTCCAGTTTATTATATAAACTCTATATAGATCAAGGTGTGACTTTTAAAATAATCCATAAAATGTATCTCCTGAATTCAAAAATGACCGCTATATTCTAAAATTTAATTAGCTTACAAATAGAGGAGAATATGAAGACACTAGGTATTTAAAAAATTCATTAACCGGTATAGATTGATCAATTCAGAGATGAATATTAATAACAGGAAAATACAAAACTTTACATAAATAAATATTTATTATGAAAGACAAATCTTTCATTTTTAATAATAATAATAATAATAATAATAATAATAATAATAAACGTAACTAAATGAAATCTATATCCAATAAATTTGAACGATTGTTTTTCTATAAGGTAAAAAAAACAATAAATAAAGTTAAATAGAACAGATCATCAGTTTCAATGTTCAATGATGGATTGGGAAAAAAAACACAACTGAGATCATGATTTAATTCAGTATGATTTCGGCTTAATAATAATGCTCTATGAAGTTTATTCATTATAATATTCGTTTTACTAATTCATTATGAAATTTTTTCTGTATAATATAGAATATGTGTTTTGTAGTAATTCAGTATAATATCCATTACCATATTGTTGTTCATTCTTTTCATATCTGTCTCCGTTTCTCAGCGTAATATGTTCTTTGGTCTTCCTTTCCTCCTTTGAACTTGAAGATTCCAAGTGAGGGTTTGCCTTGTGACGCAGTTGAGTGATTTCCTCAATGTATGTCCTATCCACTTCCAGAGTTTCTTCCTCCGCGGGGATCTGGTTTGTTCTCTCCCACTGTAGGTTGTTGCTAATAGTGTCTGGCCAACGGATCCGAAGTATTTTGCGTAGACAGCTGTTAATAAACACGTGTATCTTCTGAATGATGACTTTCATAGTTCTCTAGGTTTCCACCTCATACAGAAGATCTATCTTGACATTTGTATTAAAAATTCTGACTTTGGTGTTGGTTGACAGTTGTTTCGAGTCCCAGGTGTTCTTCAATTGTATTTTCGTTTAAATACGTGATATTCGTTAACTACTTATTAAACGTTAGTAAAAATCGATAAATAATTAAACATACTTGCTCAAAGTGGTTGTCATGAATTTTTGGAGGTTAAATAAAGTGCTTATCTCTAATCAGTTATAGTTTTCTTCTTTGAGTCATAAAAATTACAGTTCCCTACTATTCTGAGATCAGTTTTCCCATGGTTATAACAAGAGTAAACTGTGTTTTACGCAAGTAACATAGAAGAACTAATGAGAAAAACGAAGTTAATTATGTACTGATTAAAGAAAAAAACATAGAGAATCTTTATACAGTTTTTCCCATTGTTATATCTGAATAAAGAAAGAACAATGAACATAGTAGGGTATATGATGAATTCATTCATTTCGTGGATTCTCGTCAGCTATTTACAATTAAGAAACAATGATAATAATTATGCAACTAATGTACATACTTTATATCATTATACTGATGTGTGGGCGAGAATGATTGGTTGTCTGTTTAGTCAGACAGGTGTCAGATGAGGTATATATTCCCCTATCCTTATTATTATTATTATACTCACTTATTATTGATTGTTCATTGTTGTTGGATTGTGTCAGGTTTCAGCGTGGAAATATATTTACGTTGTGTTCAGGCTAATCACGTGTTCTTAATCTGAGTTGTGTTGAAGTCCTGTAGAATAGACACTGGAAGGGAATCTAGTGTAGATATTCGTCTAAGTAAATTAACGTGGAAATCCAACCTCTATAACATTAGACGAAGTAAAACCGAGCGTTATAACATATACTAACGAAGATTATTAGAATAATGACATTAAATATGGAAGTATTATACAGTGGTAAAGTGAATAGATATTTGTTACTAAATGGGAAGATTTTAGAAGGAAAATTTTAAAACACAAAGAGACATGTTTCTAGAATCCATGAAATAAATAAGTTCATGTTATCCTGTTATGCTCATTGTTCTCACTTTATTTTAATCTAGAGAATTATTGAAAGCTATGAAAGACTAGATAATAATAATAATAATAATAATAATAATAATAATAATAATAATAATAATAATAATAATAATAATAATAATAATAGTCAATTTGTACTAATCTAATACGATAAAAGTGATAGTACTCGCTCGAGTAATTGTTACTTATATCCATTACTAAATAAGTAAACTAGTTAAAAAGAACATGACACATGATACAATGGATATAAATAAAGGCTAATAGTTAATAGTATTAAAGAATATATTTAAATATAAAATCATGATGATGGCAATCACTTAATTAGTTAGTTAAAAGTACCATAGAATCATAGTACATTAAACACAATAGAATGAAATGATCAAGATGATAATCAACTAGAAAAAAAACTCATATTACATTGAAACATTGACTTCCAATCTAATAAAAAAAAAGAACATACATATACCTTTATCAATGAAAAATGATCAGATTCAAAGCATTCTGAACTACTACTATTATCATTATCATCATATAACTGTGAATTAGATTTCATTATATAATCATCTTTAATTAATAATGATAAATCAATATATTGATTTTCCATGATAAAATGATTAGTAATATTATGTAAAGAATAATTTTTATTATTTATGAATGATAATTTATTATTATTTAAATATGTAAATAATTGATAACATTTTAAACATAAATTTTTATTTAAATTTAATAAATGAAAGAAATTTATTTGAAGTTTTACAAGATCAATTTTCAATGAATTAACATCGACATCATCATTATTATTATATTCTTCATTAGATTGTAATAATACATTATCTAATATGGAATACCAATCATTCTTCTCATTATCCTTTATTAACATTAATAATAAAGTTGTATAATTAAGCCAATCAATTAATCGTAATTTAATTGTATATAATAATTGAGCACATGATAATAATTCAGATAATGAAGAAGATGATGATGGTGATGATGAGAATGTGGAAGAGAATAATGGTGATCTTGTCGTTGATGAGATAATGGATTCTGATGATTTATTTAATTTTTTTTCATCATTGAAACTTTCTTCTTCTTTTTCATTATTAGTAGGGAATATAACATGGATATGTTGAAAATAATAATCTAAACGATTTTTTGTATAAGTTAAATGTTTTTCAAATTCATAAATTAAATAGTTTAAACTTTTTTCATAAATAAATTTCTAGTGATTTATAAAATAAGAAAATAAGAAAGTGTTAAGAAAGATCTTGGAAATGACAATAATAATAATAATAATAATAATAATAATAATAATGATAATAATAATAATAATAATAATAATAATAATAATAATAATGGTGCAATCAAGGGTCAATGAGCATGTGCCTAGATGGCTACAAAATTAATGTGTGTCAAATGATCCGATCAATGTGGGAGTTAGAAAACCAGGTTCATCGATAGCGAAACATATAATTGAAACGAGGGTACAAAATTGACATTAATACAGCTTTTAAAACGCACAGAAATTGTCAAGGACAAATTCTTAAGTTTATTGAAGCCTTGGCTATTCGTAAATTTAAACCCCCCTTATGTAATCCTTAAGTCATTCTATGGCTTAGGATAACGTGACAATTTCTTATTCTTTCCCTCTCCTTTGTTATTTTACTTGAACTTTCATTTAATTGACCTTTATTAATTCTCATATCAAAATGCCCTGACAAGTATGTGTCACCAGTTTGTTCGAAATATATAACGCAAATACATCACATTTTTCAGATAAACTCAGTCTTCTCATTGTTCTATCGAAATTTGTAAAAGGGACTAATTGCTTTAAATAATGGTGTGATTTGAATGTAACCTATTTATATGCTTTATTACTTTTTGTATGAAATAATTACTAAGTTAATTAATTAAAGATAATCAGTATCATATTTTGAGTTTAACTTTTGAGATAATTGGCATATTTTAGTAGCGCATAACTGTAATCTTTAGGAAAATAATACTTCTGATGCGGACTCGAACGTACACATCATTTATCCTTATATAATCTAGAAGAAATGTTACTGTTGAGCTATTTCATCAACAATTGAATGATATTTACTTAGAAATCATCATCTATTGCTTTCATGTGCTTTTATGTATCTCGACTTATAGTAACAAGTATCCAATATTCTACAGATTATATTATTTTCTGGTTAAAACACTTCTCTTGTGTTTACTCATCTCTTTTCTATGTCTCCCTCATAGGAGATAATTTTTACAATGTTGACAATTTTTAGTGTTTACATAACAGACATCTTTGCTTGTTTTTTTTCTCTAGAAAACAAAAAAAAAGAGAATGTGGTGTTTGAATGAACTAATGATGCCTTTGTATACCTTTGAATCTTTGATTTCGAATTCCAAATACAGTACATTCGTTTGTGGTTATCTAGTACTTCTTGACCCGATTACGTTATTCATGGGATTCTTAGTTCATACTATAATTCAAATACTCCTAATTATCATATTGGCGTCATGATGGAGCCTGTGATGGAACGGTTGGACATACATTCAGATTTTGATGCTTTTGAGAATTACTTTGAAAGGTTCGAAATTTGGGCTATGACCAAGGGAGATGATAAGGATGTTAACATTGTAGCACATTTCCTCACATTCATCGGAAAAGAAGCATATAGCTTATTAAAAACTCTGGCTTTACCGGAAAAACCCATTTCGCTTTCTTATACAACTCTCAAGGATCTACTGCTAGACTATGTTAAGTATACAAATTTCGAATGCGGTGAAGGAGGAAGATTTCGTAAAACGATTCATGAAGATATAAAAAATTCCACTACATTACGTCATCCCAACCCAGTGCATACTCAAGGTTATGTAGATAATTCATTGAATTGCGACGCAGTTCACGAAGATGGGCACAAGTTTGGTCAATGTCCGTCCTGTGGCAGGTTCCACTCTTTTAATTCATGTAAATTTCGTAATTCTAAGTGCTTTAAATGTGGTGATATGAGACATATTCAGTCAGTCTGTAATACTAATGTTCATCTTACTGCAACTAATATTAAGTCTTGTAATTCTGATTCTACTGAGTCGAGTATTCGTAATGATCATTTATCTTGATCAACGATTTCAAAGGACAGTGTATAGTTATATAGCAGTTCAGAGTTAAATGAAACTCAGAATTCTTACGAGACAACAGTTTCTAATCAATCGATTTATCAGATTTTTCATGTTATTATACCAGATATGGTTTTTCATAATGATTCGCATATTTCCGACAAAATTCCTTGCAAACCTGAGGAAAATATGTTGAATGAACCTCGTCATGATCGAAAACCTGATATAGTTTTGGTAGATGCTGATTTTTCTAATAATCCTTTACTCTGTAATGACATTCTTAATAAATTCGAGGAAACTATTTCAGAAGAATCAAATCTTGATGTCATACCAAATATTATTTGTCCTCATAATGGATTTGTTTCTTGTGGGAAACTTGTTCAATAGGAAGCACAAGTACTAAATGAGCTCGATTTTGATTATAATTCGAATGATTTCATATCAACTGCTGTTTATCCTTATCACAAAAACACTTCTAATGTTTACTCTAACCAATGTGAGAAATTTGTTTTAAATGTAGCTACATCATTCATAAATTGGGGATATAATGATCCAACATTATTTCGTGGGAGAGGATAGTCTAAAAGTCTATGGTTCAAATTCTAGGTAACAGCGGTTTCAGTACACAACCGACATGTTGATTACAGAGAATTAAAATAAATAATATTGTTCCAACATAACTATATAAATATCGACCGATTTAGTATTCTTTCTTTATTTCATTCTTATATAAAATCATAGTTTAAATCAAAATAACATAAATAAAAACCCATTTAGATAATCGATTTATTCATATATATTTATGTGTGCATGTGCATGTGTGTGTGTGAGTGTGTACAGATATATACATGAGACATTAATCAATAAGAGATTAATGCACATTCTTCGATTATCATTTAAAATATACCAATCAGTCATTAAAAACAAAAATTGAATTTATATTTGAACGATAAATAAACTTAAATATTCAATGTTTAGTTAAAAGTGTGTGTGTGTGCTTCTTTGTCTTAAAAAATAAAAAGGTTTTGTCTAATAATAACAATATAGTAGACGGAATAATGTATAGAGTGACCTATTTTATAAAAATTAAAACTATGCTTTATACTTATTTGATCATCAGGATAGGAGGTGTGTGTGTGTGTGGAGATTGTAATAATTTTAATGGTTGGATTTATGAGTCGATTTAAGCTGAACCACCATTGAAAACCTAGAAACACTTGATGGGTGTTTCATCCTACTATGAGATTTCTCAGCAGTGTACATCTATAATCCCTCACGTGGGATTTGAACCCATGACCTTCAGTCTTACGTGCGAACGCTTAACCTCTCTAGACTACTGAGTCAGTATCCGATGTTGTTAATGTCTAATATCAACCAATCCAAGATATTGCGCGACCGTCCACCATTATCTTCAGTGAGTTACTTCTTCACAAGAGATACAGTTGAATTCTACTGGTCAAAGCTTTTCAATAGAACTCCAGGAAATTCATTTTGAAATCAGTCACTAGTGAGCACATGATTATTACCAGAATGGGGGGGGGTTATTAATTTTAACGCTTGAATTTATGAGTTCATTTACACTAGCCCGCTAATTGATTAGACTGAAAGAATTTAAAAAGTTTTTTTTAGATCATCCAAATATTAATTAATTAAAATTTATTCAGTTGTTAATTGATGTAGTTGATCTAATTGAAATTCAACCATATTGAGTTACAAATTCTGATTAGATTCTCTTTAATTATAAGATCCTGAGAGTTGGATATCATAATCAAATTTATGCAAAAAATTCTGTCTCAAAGCCAAGTATTTGAAACCTTTTTTTACCAAGTGAATCAATAATATTTTAAATTTTATTAAGGTTATCAGTTGACAATAAGTTTATGAATCAAAACCTGTTTTATCAAATAGAAATTATTGTAGTATTTCAGTCAATCAGTCAGCTACAACGTAGGACCAGGCACATATATGCATTGGTCCAAGTTGACATATCTCATTAATACAACAAGATAAACACCGGACTCATAAAAGTAGTTAATTCAGTGGTGGCAATATATGAAAGAAAGATTGCATATAAGGATATAGTACAGGAAGAAAGAATTGGTTCGTAGAAAGAAAGATATCAAGCGATTTTAATCTCTTAGTTTAAGGGAAGACAGGGAGTGTATACACCGACACCATTGTGATCGATTCTGAGCCATGTCACACACAGTCTCCAACCATTGGTTACGATTGTTACGTGAACCCCAACCAAGTAGTCTGCATCTCCCGACATGGCTCAGACTAGAAGTTAGTGTCTTGAAGGGCTGATGCCAAGTTTCGGTTTGGCCGCCCCTAACTTTCTTCCAACCATCTCCAACACCGGTTAGCATTCCACGTCATGGTAATCGGTGTTCAGGCATACGTAACACGTGGGATTTTAGTATTTAATCTAGTTTGCACTATATAGTAGAGATCTATTAAAACGTTTACACTCTATAAACCATAGGGTAACTATATTCCTTAAGATAATCTTGAAAGATTATTTACTTCAAATGATTACCAAGTTTAAGAGACTAGATTCAACTAAGCCAGTTTTCTTTTTACCAGTAATTATGGAATAGGTAAGGGGTACTCGGGTATACTGAATTCCAGATGACTGACTGTGTAATGTACGGATAACAATATCAGATTGCTCATCATCAGTGTATTGTCACGACTGTTAACAGTTTCTGATGAATTAAAAGCGATTATTAGTAAGTATATTAGAAAAAGATAATTTACGGCCCAAAGTCTTATTGTTTATTTTAGTCAGTCAGTCTAAGCGTCAGACGACTTTCCATAAGGAGATTCATCATCAAAGTCTCATATATTGAGCAGTTTTTATCTTAATCAAAAATATCAGTGATATCAGTTATTATTAACGCATAAAAGTAGAAGCTACGACAATGTGAAACACATTCTTGTACTATTTTTAAACGTTAACCATTCAAACAAGTAAAAAGTTAATAAGTAGACGACATATGGTTAGAAATCATTTTTAAAACATTTATTTATAATTAGAGAAAGAATCTGAAACCTGTGAGAGAGCCCAACTGAAACTCAAACACAATATTCTTACAGGTGATCAGAAATTGGACAGTAGTCCTCAAAGTTAGTCATCAGTCTTGACGAACAACAAACATAAATGATGAATTGATCAGGAAATCATTGTACTCATGACACTCGCGAGTTTTTTGTGAAACATTCTCATTAAAATCGTGAACCGATCAATGTTAGATTTGATTGCGGCGTGCTGCGTCATGGATGCTCACTGCCAAGAAGTCCCGTACTAGGGCGAAACGACCATCCAGTGCTTCCAGATTTTCAATAGTATTCTAACTTAGATCGGTTCATGATTTCAATAAAACCGAACGATTTCCACAACCCTATACTGATAAAAGAAATTCATTCAGTCAAATTACTTACATATTGTAGTTTCGAAATCCATTTTTTTGTACCTACAATTAGTTTTCGCCAAACAATATTCAATTCATTCAATAATTCGTCTTGATCAGTGGTAACAACAAGTGATGTACTACTACTTGGTACAGTTGACTTCAATAGAGATTTCGTAGAATTTATTCGAAAATCATAAGCTTTAAGTTGACCCAGGAATTTTATCAACTGATCGCATGATGTAGCCAAATGAGGTAATGATAATGATTCACCAACTTGATTAACAGAATGAACACTCTTATCGTCGTCGTCGTCACCATCATCATGATATGCGTCCAGTTCATTTAAATGACGCTCCACCTTGATTAGACTCAGTTTAACTTGAGACAGTAAATCATACACATCAGAATTCGATTGAAATGTTTTAGTGACAATAGTCGACGGATTTGAACACAATTTATGAACGGGATTGTGTTTAATAGGACTTCTTTTATTACTTATTAAAGAAGAAAAGCAAACAAGCATAAAAAGTTGATATTTTAAAACGTCAATAAAAAAAATTAGTAAACACAACAATGTTTACATGTGGGCGCTGGTTAATTTAACATTCGGTTTATTTAGAGGCTATAATAGGATGATCATTCTAGTCAGTAGTAAGATTTAGATTATGGGTGATAGGCATTGAATAGAGTATTTAGATCGGGAGTGATACATGCCGTAAAGATCCTTCAATTGTTCTTTAGGGTGTCTAGATGACTGATTCATGTCATCCCATAAGATACATGGTAAATGTGACTTTTTATTGTACATTCTGGCGTGGAATGATTACTAGCATAAGAGAAGTGGTCTAAAAGAAGGTTAAAGTGAGTGAATAAACCAAGACATGGGATCAACTTGTAGGAAGCTACCGAATGTTGAACTAAATTCGCAATTGAAGTTTTAAAGAAAATAATAATCCATGATTGGAGATATTAGGTGTTAGGATCCAAAGTCGGCTGTAGAAGTGGTGTAGATACTTTTATTCGTTATATGCTTCTAAATCTCAAGTTCCAATATAAGTTCCATCACATCAGGTTAGTTGGAGATCAATAAGAAAGTTAAGTCGAGCTGTTAAATCTCCCGGTGTTCATGACGGTAGTGTGGTGTTTTGTATATGTGTAAACAGAGCGAAAATAAGATTTGACCGATAGATATCATTAACCTTAAGAGTAATCCAATGCGAATAATCAATTCTCATTCAGTTCTCAACTTACAGAAGAATATTTGTTATTGAATAATCCATCTACATAGAAATCTTTTGTGAATACATAAACTTAAAGAAAGCAACAACATTACAGGCGGAAAGAAAATCAAAATAAAGCTTATCGTCATTACTTCGTACTTCGCTATGTTGCTGCTCATAAACCAACTCAGTCACTCCACTCTATTTTTTGCAGGCCAAAAGACAAATTCAATATCATTTACAAAACAAGTGGTACAAATTGTGATGAACACTACACTAGACACCATAGACGCTATTATCATCTATGCATACACAAACGGAAACTATCAATGAAACAACACAATATGTTATCATTGATATCAATCAATGTAGACAATTAAAAACATAAACTCAAATGGAAGAATATGGAAATTCTGGATTGTGGGGATTCAGATCAATCAACAATCAACAGACAAACCGATTTAGACCTAATCTACAAACCTGTTTGAAAAAGGTCAATCAATAAACTGGCCGTTATCGTAATTATCAACTGCACAGAATAAAGGCCATATAGTGTAGGGAGGCGGTGGTAAGCAATATTTATCAAAACTTACTTATCAATAACTATTTTTGAAGTGATGTCATCATTATCAACAGAATAATCTGTTGACTTTGCAGTGTATGATTTGGAGACTAACTGTTTATTCTTTGAATCCATCAATAATAACGCTGATGATGACAACGATGGTGATGTTGATGAAGATGGCTCAGTGATTAATAAATCAGATGATTTTCTCGATATTACGTTATGTTTCTCTTTTAAATAACTCTTATCTAAATCTATTTGATCAGGAACATTTGACTGGATTTCTGTGACAAAAATTTAGAAAAGACAATGTTTTATTTTCTTAAATGAAGACAATATTTTTGTAGACAAATAATTTTTGAATTGAATAACAATTGTGGTGAATTGATTCATTATTTGGAAAAATTCTATGGATAGGCTTAATACAAGTGAACTGAAAAAAACAGAGTAGTTAGTTTAGTAAAAGTATGGCACTGTAACACAATTTGGCTAAAACCTGAGAACATTTGTGAGACATTTCACATTTATATCAAGTGAGATGGAGCTTCAACACTGGTTTACATTGAAAATTTTTTGAACGGTGAAATAAAGTGAATTAGTTCAGTTAACAGACAGGAAAATGTTGAGAAGTTTCTCAAGTAATAGGAATATGGTAGATTGTACATAGTTCAGTCTCATTATTTTGTGCTCAAAACATATAATCAATGTATTTAACTAAAGTAAAAACGATAAACACAGCAGGATATATGATGAATTCATTCATTTCGTGGATTCTCATCATTTGTTTACAATTAAGAAACAATGATAATAATTATTTACAACTAATGTATATACTTTATATCATTATACTAACGAAGATTAAGCACCAAGCATGGAAGAATTATAGAGAGGTAAAGTGAATAGATACTTATATGTTATTAAATGGGAAGATTCTAGGAGGGTATGTTTCCAAAATCAATGTTTAAGTTACTTAATAACAACTATTAAAATTGTGTAGATTGACACAGAAAGACGAATAAAACTCATAAATGACCTAAGAATCTTTATTAAAATGATATAAACTATGTATATTGATTGTAAATAATATGTACTAGTGTTTATAGGATGTTAGCGACTGAAGGGAACTTCAAAATGAATGAATCTATCTCATATACTGCTATGTTTATTGTTCTTACTTTAATAAAATTCATCAATGGGAAAATAGCCACTGAAGTTGTACTAATCTACAGGTGTTCTAAGAAACAAAATCGATTACTTGGTTGTTTATATGTATTAAAGTGTTTGTGTTTATCTGATCTTCGTTGATATCTCTGTTCACTAAAATACTTCATCTTTATTCACTCATTTTAATAGGTGAATACTTTTTGGTACTGATGAGAAATGTGTTATAAAATGTATTGATTATGTTATATTCAACGTTCTGTTCTGTCCCTATCGGTACTGATTGTATCACTACAATACATGATCGAATCAGTGACTAAAGTCGAGTGATTTTATCACTAAATAATAACGATTCAATCAAAATTATCAGGCCGCAGCACTGAAGTAAATTAATCCCATAGGCCATATAATCTATATAGGCAGATATACAGATATAATTTACGACCTTACGTGAATTTGCATTCACTAACGTAGGTTTGAGCCCACTGTATTTATCTTGATTAAGGCAGCCAATGAATAACATTACTGGTTTAAAATTACCAGTATATGCATGTCGAAGAACATATGGAAATCAAAATAACCGTCCGTCAAACAATATCAAATTTAGAATATTCAACACAAACGTCAATACTGTCCTACCGTACGGAGCTAAAACTTCGAGAATTACCACAACCATCATCAAAAAGGTACAACTATCTACAAACAGTTTTCTACGTAAGATACTCAATGTCTGTTGATCGAATATAATCAGCAATGGCCTAATGTGAGAGAGAACGAACGAGCTTCCACCTGAAGTTGAAATTAAGAAAATAAATCGGAAGTGGACAGGACACACATTGTGGAAATCACTAAACTGCATCACGAGGCAAGCGCTTACTTAGAATCCTGAAAGGAAACGGAAAACAGGAAGGTCAAAGAACACACTGCGTCGGGAATCGGAAGCAGACGTGAAAAGAATGAGTGACAACTAGAAGGGATTGACCAGGACAGAGCTGGATAGAGAATACTGGTGGGCGGCCTATGCTCATGTACGAGGGGTAACAGGAGTAAGTAAGTATGTTAATTTTGCTTATAGTATAAATACCGATCAATGATGGGAGAGATATTCGAAATGCAGTGTGTAATGTTCTGTGTGCATATATAAATCTTACCATGCTACAATGACCGAATGAAGCCTTAGACGTTGGTCAAGATTATATTACTCGTCCTCCTGACGATTAAATTTTAATATCGATAGAAATGAAGAACGAGTATTCTGCCCTACATTTTCGAAGAATTAACTATTCGTTCAAATCTTGACGAACATTCATATCAAGCTAAACATGCTTTCAAAATAAAGATAATAAAAACATAAATAAATGCTATCAAATCCGATTTTACGTGATTATAGTCAATAATGTAGTATAAAATAAATTTATCAATTCTGCAATGTTTTTTTTCTTCATCTATCCAAAATGATGCTCTCAAATGTGTTGGTTACTGTTATTTGGAGAACGAGTTGTACAAATAGCTAAACAACAGTAGTTGAATAAGTTTATGCATGCCGAGTACTTTGTTCTGTACTCAACTGTGCTGTGGTTGACAGTAATCATGTAGCACTGAACTATTATCTGATATTATTTGTGATATTGAATAGAATCTACTAAAAAATATATACATATGTCTCTCTTGAATTGCAAAACTGTTATCTATATGTAATATACAATTCTTATCTACGGGTATTTGGAAAATACTATGAAAGTGTCAATAACACAAAAACATTACCTTTATTGAATGATCTCACAGTTGTTATTGACGAATAATCAAACTCCGCTTGAAATAATGATGGAGACATTGGCTTGATATCATTTTCGGGAATAATATCCTGTATTGTTAAATAATTCGATAAAAAATTATTCATTATTGGTAATTTGACATGGTGAATCAAAGAGAATGGGGTGTATTTTTTAATCAAGCTGAAACCATTTGATACAGTTGTAATTTCATGTCTAGCCAAATCATCAGGGACCAATTGAGGGAGATAAGCGAATGTAAAAGATAAATCTTCATGATAAATTTCTACAGCATAAAAGCATAAACAAAGAGTCCGTAGTGTACTTGTTCGTCTGATTACTGAGTATTTATTTGAACTAACTTTGGAATTCGATAAACATGAAGTACGAGGTTTACCTAATAGTGTTGAAGATTGTGGCCGATTTAAATTCGATAATCTATAACTAACAGAAGAGGTAGAAGACGGCAATATCACTGCTGGGTGCTGTTTTTGTGATTTAGTCGGGAGCGCAGTTTGTGATTGATTTTGATGTGACCGAGCCGTTAAACGTAGACGGTTTGTTTCATAAGTTTTATTAGGATCTTGTTTATTAATTTGTTTCTTGGACAGTATGGCAGGTTTCACCAAAGTACGTTTTGAATGATCAATAACCGAATTTATAGATACACTATTTCTAGCTACAGAATTCGATAGCCTACTTTGATCCAAGTTATCATCTGAAGAACAGATGCTATCAACTAAATGCTTAGAGTTTTGAAATTTTTTCAATCTTTCTGACTGATTCACATTTCCTATTGGCTTTCTTGTTGCTACTCTTACAGACGAGGTAGATAATTGATTAGGTGAATGACAGCTCTTGACATAATTCTTAAATGAATTACTAGCAATAGTAATTTTTTCTTCTGCAGCTACACTACTACGTAAACATTTGGATCTCATCACTGATAGATGTCTTGTAGAACTATAACTATTAATATGTGTACATTCCTGTAATTGATTCCGCTGATATCGTTCATACTGAATGACTTGTTTTTCATTGTGATTTTGTTGATTTATCGCATTACTTAAATTCATTTCAGATGTTAATCCATTATTATTTGTTGCATATATATAACCTTTAGATGTGAACATATTTGTTATTACATCGGAATATAAATTTCTATTAATGATCAGATCATTCATTTGTTTAAAATAAGATAAATCAATTATTGATTGATTAATTGATTTTTGATTTTGTAAATATTTTATTTTATAATAATTTTCTAACCAATACTTATTACTATTATTCAATATATAAGTAGTATATTTTTGACAAAACTGTTTAATATTTATAAAGAAATTAAATTTATTAATATATAAATTTGTTGATAAAATAGTTGAATAATACATTTTTATATTATTTATAATGAGCATAGAATGATCATATTTTTCGAGTATTTTCTTCTTATTATTATTATCATCATCATTTATTGATAAGATATATTTCTTATGTAATTTATATTCAATGTGTAAAGGATATAGTAATGGATACTTTTTATATGTAGTCAATTTGTTTAGAAATATTAAAGAATAATAATGTCTAGTAGGGTTATGATTACATTGAGTGAATGTTGAATGTTTCCCATTTTTCAAATTTAGAATACAAAAACATTTTGATATTTCAATGTTATGATTACTAATATTTGTATTTGTATCTTTGTTACTAATTAAATGATCCGTCCTAATGTTATTATTATTCTTCATTATTCTCAAATAGATGAGAAGAAATGTTCAAGATTACCTTGAAGATTGAAATCTGAATGATGGTAATAGTTTGGATTATAAATAAACAATTCACATTAGCCACTTAATTCCAATTAACCATTTATTCCCTAAATACTCTATTATAAATGTGCTTTTTTTAAAATTACTTGTTTCGATCGATAATAGGAGTTAATCGATCATATCAATACTGAATATAATTAAATTATACAGTTGTGTTTAGTTGATGATATCTGTGATGTGATGAAAAAAGTGTATCTTATTATGACAAAAGAGAGAGAGAGAGATTTGTTCTACTTCAATGAAGTTAATTATTGTTTATTTATTATTTATTTTAACACACAGATATTGGTACAAGGGGGCACCAAATACATATGCGCCACACAAATCTCATTCGATATGTGTGAGGGCTGTGGTACTGCCCGGGTGCCCAAACCGAAGCAGGTGGTTTTCTTAGGGGGCCACTCCCCGAGACTTCGACCTGAAGGTTTGATCCACAAGGCAGTGGAGCATCGTAAGGAGATGCAGTCCCATGGTAGCCGGTGACCAACGATTGGTTCATACGCCATTTGTTCCCGTAGGATACTGGAGCCCATGTGCACCATTGGTTTGGAATCCGGTTAAAGCGCCGGACATTCGCTTTTCGTCCTCTCATTTTCGTAAACAACACCCCGCCACGAGAAGGCAGTGAGTAGGACTTCCCTGGCAGAGGCTATATACGCGTGGCCATGTGAGAGCATTTCGAGAGGGAGAGCGGACTCTCCCCACTCTCGGCCGTACCAGGGCATTTGGGGGCTAATTATTGTTTATTGAATTGTCAAGAATTCAATAACTAAGAGAGTGATAAGTCTTGTTACAAATACGTTGAAATCGTCTTTCTAGACGGTTTCAATAAACATAAACTACTTCTATACGTCAAATGGAGCAAAATAGAAAGGATATGAATTGTGAGTAAAAGCCTTACTTCAAGATTAGGTTATATATAAAGAAAAATGATGGTATTTGTAAAGTCAATCATGACGTTGGGTTTCTAGAAATTTCTGAAACCATACCAAGTATACTTAGTATAAGTAAATATTCAATCAAAATCATGATGTGATTCTGCATTTTCTAGATGTTTCTGCGAAGTTTCTATTCGACGCTAATCGGATAGAACGTTCCCTGGAGTTTCTGCGCCTTTAGAGACATTTACGAGAGATACCCTGGGACTCTCACAACAGTGGGATGAAAGATAAAAGAATTATGTCAAACTCTAGGTTTGGATTTACCATACATCGAAAAGTGATGCTCACAAAAACTCACTTTATATATTTTGATTTGAGCCCGCTATAAACATGCTTCTAGAGTTGATAATTTTTTTTCACTTGATTGCCTATTAGACAATCCGTAGTTTGACTTAAATGTGTAAACAGATGGCAATGTTTGATGGAAACATTGAGTAAACATAATCTTCTGAATGATTTGAATATCACTTACAAGAATATTGGAGACACATTTTTCTTTAAAGGATAAAGTTCCGGACACCAGTTTGTAGGAAAGCTAGTACACACTTGGGGCTGGTCAATTCGCAAACCCAATCTGACACCAAAGTTTATAAATCCCGATTAATTTCATATAGTTTCTTTGGTTTATCCCGATACGTAATAAGACTCGTTTGGCAACATGACATTAAACATAGGATATGAAGTGTGTTAGGAAATCGATATATTTCATGTAAATTCATTCAACAGAACACATGTTCGGTGTACAGCATTTGAATGATGTCAGAATTATACATAGCATATGTGGTCGTGAAACGTTGCTGTAGCATGGATGTAAACTTCACAGTTAAAATCAGTGGATAAGTAATTGCCTGAGTCTACATATAACACTAGACGGTACATTTTATTTCTATTTGGGATATTTCAGGAGAAACAATATGACTAACCTCAACACAAATATTACATTATTAGTTGACAACTGCTAGGAAGATTTCAAGTTTTTATCTAGTTTTTGACATTAAATGTTAACTTCAATCAGAGATAGATAGTGCCTAGCGATGGAATCCAGGACTCCAGTTTCGTCCTATTTGGGACTCGTCAGCTGAGCGTACCTGTATGAAAGGGTTGATGTTCCGGGACTCAAACTCAGTGCCATTCGCCTCAAATGTTATCGCAATATCCATTTAACTACTGATTCCACTGACTTATGTAATCGGGTGAAGTTTAATTCCTCTTGTCTTGGTTGTTTGAATCTTCCGATTGACGTTTAGGACTGCCATTTGTCAGTGTCTTAATGATACATGTGAATGCTGTGCGGAATGCCTCAATATTGCCTTAAGACACGAGCATTATAAACAACAAACGGATTAAATGTTAATTTCTTTTCTGTAACGATAGACTCAAGTACACTTTTTCTAGTTTATATTTCGACATAATTTTTGATGTTTTCCTAATGGTTGTTACCACCCCTAGTTTGCTAATTTTCTGTATATTCTAAGGTCACATTTTGTTATATGTACAGAGAGAGATGCTTCATTCCAGTTGGTTCTTCGTTGAACTACCAAGTTTCTTTGCGCTCACTTCTTTTGCAATTCAAAATAGGTCTCATTCGTATTAGAATAACCTCGATAGTTTGTGATTTGTAATTACTGTAGGCCCAACCAAACATTAATTCTTAATAGTTGCCTACAAGATTTAACAAATGCCTTGAAGAACAAAGATTATATAACTCACTCTCAAATTGTTTACTATCATTAATTAAATAAAACAAATATTTTAATTCACACATCACCTTAAAAAATATTTACCTCAATAGAATTTTTCTGTCTCGATCCTTCTTGAAGTGAATTCAAAGCAGATAATGTCGAACTAGACCCCAGTTTTATTGAAACGGTAGTTTCATCTTGATAAGTACTATAGAAGTTTGGAGAAAAAGCGAGTAAAGTTAATTTCTGTGCATCATTTATACAAAACTCTATGGTTATTAAAAATATTGATCGTTTTAACCATTAGCCTAGGTACTGTATCCATCCACTTCACTCTTGACAGTCTTCACTAACTTTCAGTCAAGTACACTAAGACATATCGATTTTAATAGATGACTTTCAAGCAATCGGGTTATATATGCTTGATCTGCAATCTATCTGGTATAGTTTATTAAACAATCATATTGTGATGTTATTATGCATCAAACACAAAAGATAGTTGCTCACATTCGACTGAATAAACTTGCAAACTATGTTTTGATTAAGTGAGCATGATCTAATTTATGTTGTGAAACATCTCTGTTTTGACTAACCTATGTTTTATTTCATCGGGTAATTTACCATGAAGGAAAAATACTTTTATTCAATAATACATCTAGCATAGACGTTATTATTACTTTTGTTATTTGATCACTGGTTAGGATCGCTAACCAGTTCTAATACTGTGAGAAATAAATGTTCAATGTACCTTGGTTGTCAGCAATGACAATTCATGGTGAAAACTACCAAAAAAAAATTAGTTCATTTTAGATTTCGACTGCGTTTTTATGTTGAGGTTTCATTTAAAACTATGCGTAAATATGACCTACATTCATACTTGAACGTAGAGTGATCGTGGATTTTTTTAGGCTGAAGTAACCTGCTTTAGTTCATAAATTACGATTGAGTCTAGCTGTTTTGATCGGACCCCTTCTCACTATACAATCACATATCATAATTACAAGTTTAGTGTTATGTGAGCTGCAGAACGACTGGTTGACTAAAGAGTTACGATTTTTTCTCAAAAGAACATAATAAACCATCTGTTAAAAATGAGCAATTAACTGGGAATGATGAAACTTTGAAAATCAATATCCTATGAAACAAGATATACATATACGTATAATCTGCATTTATTAAACAGCAGATTTACAGTATTATTATAGTTTTAATTATATGCCTTCATTTATCTTGTTAACGGTTGATATTGTCGTTTATTATCAATAAGCTACAATCTACTGATTATATACCTGTTGCTCAGTTTTATATACCACACATGATCTAGTTTGAAATTTATTACATATGGTTTCTTATGGTGTTGTATTAAATGTATAAAATAATGTGCATCAGTGTGAATAACAGGAGGTACATTGTGTTCCGGGGATAGAACTAATTAGCGTTATCATTTATTGTAGATATGATGTAGAAATTATTGTTATTGTGGTAAGTGGAATCAACAACACTATTCCTCAGTTAGATCACCATTGACAGTATTGTTAATCGATTTCGAGTCGGTGATTATAATAGAGTACGTTGATAATGTACACTAGTGATAAACACGCACACACAGTCAAAAGAAGCCGGTAATAAGTTTAAATAATAAACTATGCTATTAACTTTATGAACCACCGAGATTAGCCAGAAATTTTTCAATGTCCAAGTAACCTGTTGTATCCAACGCTTCCGACTATCTTTCCGTTCATCTACTAGGTGTGTTGAATATCAGAACGTACATTCACTGGAAATTTAATTTCAAGGGTCTGCAGTTATCTGCAGAACTCTGATGTGAATATATCGGTATAACATACACCCAATATATCAGACTAAATAAAGAAATACAAATATGATGAAAGTTGGGGTTGAAATGAAATCTGTAGTGAAAACTATCACTCTAATGAACAGAAAAAGTAAATGGAAGTGCTAGATATAACACATCACTTGAACAACGGAAAATGTGACAGATAGCCCCGACCTTCTTTTATAATTAACAGTAACAATATTGAATAAGGTCACACACATATAATCTACTTACTTATTATAGTATTCAAGGTATTGATTTATTCGATTTAAATAAGTATAGGAACAACAAAATTGACGCAGTAAAACTGTTGTATCCGAATGAGCATTTATGCTGCTCCAATTGACTATTTTACATAAATTAACCAAATGATTATGAATACATGTCATATACAACAATTTAAACTGAATTTCCTGTATATGAGGTGAAAAAAAAACAATACAGATATATAAGGACAATGGTAACAATGTAAATTATTCTGTGTAGATTTTCTACACTTTGAAAAAAGATTCTGTTGTCATTTAGTCCTATGACTGTCGTCTGAGATTCACTTAAAGTAAATCAAAGATAATTACAGTTAATTGTCGAGAAATGAATACTTTTCATTGAAAAATAACGGATTGGAAAGTACATCCTTCGAAGTGTAAATTGAATCCGATTGGGTTGAAAGGAGATTTTTGAATAAATTAACTGAGTTTATGAGATTTTGAATTTGCTTCAATTGAGGTGACTAAGGATTATGTACGCTGAACTCATTCCTTTACTGTGGAATATCTTGTTAGGTGAAGAATGAATGTATAGTGACCACAAATCACGACACAGAAGTCAGCTAAGTTGATGTTATCGGTTGACGTATATCATATCACAATCATAAAACGTCACTGAATCATTTTATTCGTCGTTCCCAACTAAGAAGCATGATATTTTTGGCTAGTTTCCATGGTATTCAACTAGTATACTTTATTTCCTTACATATAACAACCACTAAAAGTTCACCACGAGATTGAAAAGTCCTAGGGGTAGAGTTCTGCGAGAAGTCTCATGGTAGGACGAAATGTCTGTCTAATACTCAGTGATTTTCAGTAGTACTCGACTGAGATCAATCTAAGATCTATAAAATATAACCAAAAGTTTGAATTTTAAATATATTTCTTCTTTTCCAGGGATTGGAAATTCACTGGAGTAGGTCAGTGAATTAGAGTAGTAGCTTAGTGTTATGTTACGTTATCTATAGTTCAGTACGTGCCTATAATAATTGTGGAATTAGGAATGACTAAACTACTCCTATATGATTTGCGCTATAGTGTAGCTGATAAAGGTAATCAGTGCAAAAAATGTCAACACCTGACGGCCAACACTGGCAGATGAAATGCAAGAAAACTTGATATTAATGGTAAAACAAGCATTACAAAACGAAATGGTACAACTCCGTATATACAGTAAGGAAAACATGACCTTCAAGTTTACAGAAATTTAGTTTACTAAAAGCAATCGGAATCAATCAGAGAAAGGAAGAGATCATGCTAACAATTGAATTTTAAAAAAGACACCTGAGGTTATCGCTTTAAAAAAAATATTTAAGCATTATTTACAAACCTTGAGAAATCTTACGATCATCCGAGCACTTGCTCATTAAAATACTTGGGTTTCAACCAATAAGACCTATGTTCAGACTTCATCTAACCTACTTTGGTTTAAGCATTCAAGTAGTAAGTATCCCTTTTCCCTTACACCTAATATGACTTAAGGAGAATTACATAAATTAATATTACGCAAATGAGATATATTATCACCATTTATAGATAGTCGTTCTCAGTGTAAAGATCGATTTTGAAAAATAAGAGAATCAAACTCAAGTCTTCTTATCATTAAACCAGTATTCCATTTACATACAATGAGTATCATTACAAAATTTTTCAAATATTCAAGACATTGAAGAATTGGATCAATCAATAAGTTGTTTATTCATATGATTAATAAAAAGGAAAACATCAGGATTAGCGGACCAATAAAAAAACACAATAACAAACATTTCTTTAAATTATCAGAAGGGGTTTTGTGGAGATTTTAGAAATTTCACTGATTGAAATCATGAGTCAATTGAAGCTAGACCACCATGGAAAACCTGGAAGCACTGAGCAGCCGTTTCATCTTAGTATGGGGCTTCTTAGCAGTGAGCGTCCACGGTCCCTCACTGAGCACTGCTGAGAAGCCCCATACTAAGATGAAACGGCTGTTCAGTGCTTCCAGGTTTTCCATGGTGGTCTAGCTTCAATTGACTCATGATTTCAATCAGTGAAATCTCTTTTTAAATTACCTGAATATTGTTCAATGAAGTACATCTCCTCTGATTAATTTGATGACATGGATATTGTATACACATAATATCATCAACATCAACTGATAACATCATTTTCATTTGTTCAATTAAACATTTCACATTTGTCTTGATATATATTAAAATCTCTTCACATTCATATTTAATCTTTTGTGTTAACTGATTAATATATACTTGTAGACAATTTATAAGTAGTATTGATAAATCTAATTGTATTTGTACATTGATATCATTAACATAATAAACAATATTTTCATATTCACTGTGACAACTTTGAAGTAACTCTTCAATTTTCATTAATTGATCTACATACATCTATAACAGTAATATTAATAGTAGTAGGATAAGAAATTATTATTTAAAAAAAGTAGTTGGGTTTAATTTTTTAAGAAAAAAGAAAAAATGAATAGAAAACATATTATAATAAGAGATTGAGATCATTAGTTAGTACTATGATTCACTTCAGTTCACACAACTTGGGATACCGAAATATAAATTCCAGGTAAACTATCACTATACTCTCTTTGTAACTATTGAAGCAGCACCAAAAAAAGTGAGTAGAATCAAGCAGAAGTTTTTTTATTTGGAGTTCAACTGACAATGGTATAAGGTGGAAGTGTCTGGGAATTTTTTTGAGTGTCCTTGAGAGTCAACCAGTGAATATACGAATTTCGTATGGTCATATTTAACTGCATGGATGAAGTTTAAAGTTATTCGAATGAGGATTTAAACAGTTATGTAGGTTGATTTGAATTGAATTCTTGAGAAATAGTGCATTCACCAACAGTAAGAGAATACAAATGAAAGTTAAGTATCGCTTGAGAACTTTTTTGTCTTCATTTGTGACCAATAAATACACAAAACTTAATAAAAAATCTCTTAAAAATGATATCGATAGAATGACTTCAACATTTTATTCAAGAAAACTGTCCACTATAAACCGAAAACTACAATCTATTTGCCTTGTTATGAGGTTTCCCATATTAATACTGATGTACAAGTATCCATTCTATACCTGAGACCGAACGAGGTACTGGAGATTATTAAGAGTGAGGATGAAGCCTTGTTAACTAAAAGAGAATCAAGAATATATGTACACTTATTTAAAAATATACATCTCTTTGCTTTTGAAAATAAAGTCACATTTCCAATCAGTGGAATGTGTCTCAGTTCCTAGAAAATAAAGCTGAATCTTTGTCAATAACTTGCTCTTATCTTTTGATTGGCACAATGTATCACTATATGAAGTGCTGTGTTTCAAGAAATAATTACTTTTAAATCGTTTACGTAAAGAGTAAACTTCCTTTATTCCGTAGGATTAAATGTAAATTAGTCTATATAGTTCTGTTTGTTGTCCAAATATAAGGTCCAATAATCAATCACAACTATCTCACCGATTTGTCTACACTTAAGAGTTAGAAACGATTATGGTTCACACAGAGAAATATCTATCACCTCTGACCAACCTAAGAAATAAATCTTCAGAATTCCATACTCATTAATAACGCTGTGAGCAGCACGGAAAAACACTGATCTTAATCAATAAACTTTGGAAAATGTCTAAAGGATTGCTAAACGGCCGTCCAGTGCTTCCAGGTTTCCTATGGTGGTCTATCTTCAATTGACTCATGATCTCAACTGTTGAGATTGTTAAAGAACAATGTATAATTGAAACAGAACCATTAAAAAAAATTTTTGGATTACAGTTCATTTATTTTCGACATTAATATCCACAAACTCAAGACTCCGGATTTCTGTTTGCATATTCTGATGTTTGTTTTACACTCACTTTAAATGAATTAAAACAAACCTACTACCTTTCAGTGAAATTAATTAGTTAGCAAGCAAGAAAGATCATTCAATTGAAATCCATTAAAAAACCCACTTCTGCATTTCCTTTGAGTTCATCATTGAATGATGATGATAGTACTGTTTCGTCTATAAAATGTATAATCCATTCTGAAATCATATCTATTCGACGTTGTAATGTAGTTAAATAAATTTGATTTTGTTCAAAATTTAATGTATTCTTTTTGTCGTCAACTTTGTATTTATTTAAAGCTTTGAGACGTTCTTCTTGTTCATTGATTAACACATTCATGGAAGATACACTATTAATATTATTATCTATAAAAGGATTTCTATGACATATTGTACAGAATACTGGACATCTAGATGGAAGAAATATCTCATTCGTTATATAACAGTTATGTATAATACCATCATTCACTTCATCAGGAACGATAGACGATGAAGATGATGAATTTTGAAATGTTTCCATCAAACCATTGGTAACATCATGTGAACAGTTTTTCTCTTCGTTAACAAATAGGCTGTTGAATAATATTTGTTGTCTTTTCAACTCGTCTATCACCTCTTGATAATTAAAAGAGCATAAAGACTGATGTATATCTACAAATGAAAAATACGAGAGACAAATAACTTCACAAAAACCAATATGGGCAAGATAGAATAAACCCTATTTCAATTTATTCAGTATTTTACGACTACTTGTGAGAAAGCAGCAGGACCTGACAATATACCAGCTGAAGCACTAAAGTCAGACATAGAAGTAACCGCAAAGATGCTCCACATTCTATTCAGGAAGATTTGGGAGGAAGAACAAGTGCCGACAGACTGGGAAGAAGGATACCTCATCAGGATATTAAAGAAAGGAGGTCTGAGAAAGTGTGGGAACTACGGAGTTATCAGAACTACTATCGGTCCCAGGAAAGGTTTTTAACAATGTTGCTGAACCGGGTGAAAAATTCAGTAGACGTACAACTTCGAGATCAACAGACCATATTCCACAAGGATCGGTCGTACACAAACCAAATCGCGACACTACGAATAATCAATCCAATGGAACTCGTCACTATATAACAGTCCTGCCGTACGCAGTTAAAACTTCGAGAATTACCATAACCATCATCAAAAAGGTACAACTATCTGTCTGTTGGCCGGTTACAATCAGCAGCAGCCTACTGTGAGAGAGAACAAACGAGCTTCCAGCTGAAGTGAAAATTAGGAAAACAGATTGGAAGTAGATAGGGCATACATTGTGAGTCACCAAACTGCATTACAAGGTAAGCATTAACTTGGAATCCTGAAAGAAAACGGAAAAGAGGAAGGCAAAAGAACATATTACGTCGGGAAGTAGAAGCAGATTTGAAAAGGATGAATAACAACTGGAAGGAGCTGGAAAGGATTGCCCAGGACAGATTTGGATGGGGAATACTGATGGGCGACCTATGCTCCTCTACGAGGCGTATTTGTGAACATTTTTCTACACTCAGTGATCACGAGATGCAAATCAATGAAATTTACTGTTCATCTGCACAGTCTTCAAACCATTATAAGCAATTAAAATTTGTGCACAAACTTCTTATATGACTCAAATCGAACTTGAGAACGAAAACACTTAGTTTATTAATATGCAATTTTATACTACTAATAAGTAATACATTTAGGAAAGACTTACATGAAAATCCGGATTTCTGTGGATATACTTGATTCATAACATTTGATAATTCCATATTATTTAACAAAGCATTAATGTTATTCCATACAGATACAAAATGTATCCATTGATTCATAATGATATGTAACACTGATTTAAGCTGATGTAAACGAATACCAAGAATAAGCCAATCACTTGTCAAAATAGTGTTTGGCAAAATAGCAGCATTGTTAATTTGGTTACAGATTGTCTGATGAGATCTTTTTACAGTGAATGAGTACGTAGAAACATAAATGAATAGTGGTTCTAATTGAATATATTCATTATACCATAACTATAATTGAAGAAAGAAAAATAAATAATGGAAACTGTTATTATTGGTCGAGTAAACGGTAAGAGGAGACCATCTTGGTAAGTATTCATGTATACAATACAACGTTACGTGGAAGAAAATGGGTGAAAAGTTGCACTAGATTTGGATCCTTTGTTGGTAGATACTCGTCAGCGATGTGTATCTGAAGTCGTGATGAAACTGATACACATCGTGAGATTTGGACCAGCATCATCCTGTGTTATACGCATGGAAATTTTACTGTTGAGTTATTCAAACTACGAACTATTTTGTTTGGGACTGCAGTATATACGCTTACTGGTCACTGAGTAATAATCAATATAGTGTTTGTCTAATCCTTAATGATGATAGAATTCTATCGACTAAGTGGAAATGTGGTCAAGTTAGTTTAATTCTTTAATGATATGAAAACTAGGTTTAATAATCTCTGTTAATCGCCTTCAACCCAATTAGCATCAAAACAGGATATATGCGATGTCGAACCACTTAAAATGGAATTTTAGTCAGCCAACAGGACTTGACAAACATGGCGCTGGCTATTACTCAGCAATTGGTCACGAAATATGGTTGGCTGACGTTAGATACTGATGGCTGTCTTCACATTTGTGGATTTACCATAATAGATTTAATCTAGTGTTTATTGAAATCAGACTAAAATTTTTCAAGATTTGTAGTCTGATTGACAATATTTAAAGCTTCAATAATCCATAAACATTTAAAATCGTCATAAACCCTTACGTAATCAAATACAATTGAATATTATGCAAACCTTTCTTTTTCTTTTAATTCTACAAATATACAAAATATAGTTGGAAAGATTAGTTTCTATTCCACTATCGATTCATATATTCTCTTTCAAACTGATCAGTTAATTGATTGAATTAGGATACACAAGATGAAAAAGTTTGATATATATACGACGTCTGCATAGAGTATATCACTAAAGTTGAAGTCTTTTTTATTCTAAGTTATCAAGTTTCACCACAGAAAGTTTGATTCCATTGAATAAAAACCTGAATATCATAGAAAATATTAATTTAATAGATTAAAGTGGGAAATCCCAACTTCACGTTAATAGACTGTTGCTACCTTGCCGTGGTGGTCGGGCTTGCCTATCGTGATGAAGCAACCGAGCTATACTGGCTGGAACAACCGTTTATCAAGGTCCTACCATGTCAGACAGGTCGGTTGAAGAGCGGTAAGACTAAAAGCAACAAACCCAAGGTCCGAAGGCGAAGTCGTACTGCTGACTGTACAGAGGTGTGACAGCAGTAAGGTGTTTCCTTCAGACAACCAGCATGACAGCGATGCTGCCTTCCCACAAGGAGGGGTGGGTTAGAAAAGGTCGACCCTAAAAATGCACACCTCACCTTACCTCACGGATATCCGTCTCCGGCGGTAAAGTCTCAACAAGTACGGAGCTAACACGAAAATTACTCACAAAAAGGTCGTGTGTGGCTGATCTCAAGCAGTTGTTCCCTGGGCACTGCGGTCACGCTCTCAGGTCACTAAGACCACCTCTAATCCAATTTCCTTTTTAGGTACCTCCAGAACAACCCTTCCACGGTGTGGGCAACCGGGAAGTGATAATCGCCCTCATACCTCTAACAGCACCCAAGACCACTGTATTCATAATCAACCTTCCTCTTCAATTCCTGTTATTCCTCCTACATCGACTTTCAACCCTAAACTTCCTCCTTCGGCTTCCTCCTCAAATGTCACCATAGCCAACGATTCTAGTGCGCGAAACACTGTTCTAGGTCTACTGAAACCTCGCTCCAAACTACACATTGGAGCCTTCAACGTACGAACCCTATGTCAAATCGGTCAGCAGGCTTCCTTGGCTAAAACCCTAGAGTCTCTTTCCATTGATGTATGCTGTGTCTCCGAAACACGCATACAGGATTCCAGTGTGGTCATCCACTTGACCTCACCTCGGCAAAACGGAGAGCCAACGAGATACACCCTCCGTGTATCTGGTGACCCGATGGCCAGTTCTCGTGGACTGGCAGGTGTAGGCATAGCACTAAGCATGAGGGCGGAACAAGCACTGCTAGAGTGGATCCCCGTCAACAGTCGTCTATGTGCTGTTCGGCTAAACGGCTACGTAAGAACTCGGAAGGATAGGGACACACGTCGTTGCCTTTTTGTCGTTTCTGCCTACGCTCCCACTGACTGCAGCTCAGATGAAGTGAAAGATGAATTTTAAGAAAGCTTTCTGAACTTCTTCAGAAAGCTAAACGCTCAGACATAGTACTCGTAGCAGGTGACTTTAATGCTCAGATAGGTAGTTTAAACCAAACAGAAAGGCATTTAGGTGGATATTTTAGCATTCCGGCACAGCGAACAGATAATGGTGACCGTCTGCTGCAACTGTGCTCAGACAATCGCTTATTTTTAGCAAACACAAATTTTAAGCATAAGGAGAGACATCGTCTAACGTGGCGACCCCCTACACCAAACCAACGATGGACTCAAATAGACCATATTGCCATCAGTCATCGTTGGAGAGGGTCGGTAGAAGATTGTCGCTCATTCTGGAGTACCTGCTTGGACTCCGACCACGCCCTAATACGGGCACGCATCTGCTTGCGCCTCACTGGACGCAAAAAAGCCACAGTAAAAAGACCCATTAAAACCGAACTGAGTAGCGAGGAAACCAAAAGTAGGTTCCAGGAACAACTGAGGTCACGATTAGGTAGTTGTGAAGATGAGGCTGACCCAGATGTTGCTTGGAATGAAATACAAGCAGCTGTGGAAGCAGCAGTGACATCTATTAGCGACTTAAACCACAGAGTTGCAAGGAACCAGTGGATTTCTTCAAAGTCTATCACACTGATGGATTCTCGCAAACTCGTCCCATAAGGTTCTGAACATGATGAAGAGCGACAACAAATCAGATCTAGGTTAAGAAAAAGTCTGAGAAACGACCGTGAGCAGTGGTGGGCAACGAAAGCAAAAGAGATGGAAAAGGCGGCGACTATAGGAAACACAAGACAGCTTGACAGACTAATAAAAGAAACTGGAATTAATAAGTCAAGTGTAAGTGAGATTATATCGGAAAAAGACGATACATTCATCTGCTCCCAGTCCAGGCGTTTAAAACGATGGGCGGAACATTTTAGAGAACAGTTCAGCTGGCCTTCAGCTACTCTACAACTACCCTCCATTCCCAGACAATGTGAATGGATCATTGAAGTAGGTCCCCCAACTCTTGCTGAAGTTCAAAAGGCTATAGTTAATCTGAAACGAGGAAGGGCAGCTGGTCCAGATGGATTGGCTCCAGAGGTCTTTAAGGATGGTGGTCTAATTTTAGCGATTAGGTTGACTAATATTTTAGCTAAGATCTGGGAGTTAGACGTTATTCCATCTGACTGGTCACAATCACTTATCGTCCCAATATATAAGAAAGGGTCAAAATCATCCTGTGACAACCACAGAGGGATTAGTTTAACAAACATAGTATCTAAAATATTGGCCTCGATAATTATCAGACGCCTAACTAAGACTCGTGAACTACAAACTCGAGAGAACCAAGCTGGCTTTAGACCTGGTCGTGGCTGCATCGATCACATATTCACCATTCGTCAGATTCTAGAACATAGGCATACTTATCGGCGTCCGACAATGGTGGTCTTTCTCGACTTAAAAGCAGCATTTGACTCGGTAGACCGCGAGATTCTGTGGCAGTGTCTGTCATTGAAAGGTGTACACCAAAAGTACATAAACCTTGTGAAGGCTCTTTACTCGAACACTACTAGTCGAGTCAGAGCTTGTGGCGAACTATCATCTACTTTTGCAACCTCAAGTGGTGTCCGTCAAGGCTGTCCACTTTCCCCATTTTTGTTTAACTTCATCATAGATCTACTGATGGAAATAACTTTCTCGTCGACTGAGTTCTCGGGTATTGATCTCTTTCCAGGAGGTCCACTTATCGACTTAGAATACGCAGATGACATAGTCCTGTTTGGTGAAGACGCTGACAAAATGCAGAGTCTTCTGGTAGCACTAAGCAACAATGCCAGAATGTTTGGAATGCGCTTCTCTCCCTCTAAATGCAAGTTGTTGCTTTAGGACTGGTCTGCGTTAACACCTGAACTAAGGATAGAGAGTGAAGTAGTCGAACGCGTCGACAACTTCACTTATCTTGGAAGTCTGATCGGCCATAATGGGCTGGTATCGGACGAAATCTTAGCACGGATTCGAAAAGTTCGTTTGGCTTTTCTCAACTTACGTCACCTATGGCGAAGGCGAGATATCCGTCTATCAATAAGAGGACGAGTATACTGCACGGCAGTCCGTTCTGTCTTACTTTACGGCAGCGAAACATGGCCATTAAGAGTAGAAGACACTCGTAAGCTATTAGTAGTTGACCACAGATGCCTTAGAAATATTGCTGGCGTCTGCTGGGATCACCGGGTAAGTAATAGTGAGGTTAGACGCAGGGTATTAGGGAATGATGGTAAATCAGTTGATGAGGTTATGAATCTTCATCGACTGAGATGGTTGGGCCACTTGTTACGTATGCCTGAACACCGATTACCACGACGTGCAATGCTATCCGGTATTGGAAATGGTTGGAAGAAAGTTAGGGGTGGCCAAACCAAAACGTGGCATCAGTGCTTCAAGTCACTAAATTCTAGTCTGAGCCATGTTGGTAGATGCAGACTACTTGGTTGGGGTCCGC